AATCTACCGAAATCCTGCGTCGTGCTGGTTTAGATGATAAAAAGGACGAATGCCGGCAACACCGTCTGCGGTGGTTTGGTCATGTCAAACGAAGTGGAAACAGTGCCATAACTTTCTTGCAGATGTTGAAGTACCTGGCACACGTCCCAAAGGCCGTCCAAAGAAGTCCTGGTCGCAAACAATCGAGCAAGACATGAAAGCTCAAAATTTATATGAAATGGATACAACTGATCGTCTAATTTGGCGCAAAAAGTTGATGGCAAAGAAAACAACGTCCTACCTCGGGAAACCGGGTCTCTGGACGCAAAACGAAGATTGATTGATTGACTATACCAGATGATATTGAAAATATCTTCTTTGAAATTTTATTTCTCTGTATAATTACGACCGGAAAAACCGACGATAATTGATTTTCTGTAAAATGGCATAGATTAACCAAACTAGTCCTGGCACAGACATATTTTTTAAAAACGGTTAAATGAATGGTAGATATCAACAAAGGTTTCGTGTTTGAACGAATAAGTAAATGAACAAGCCAACCAACCAATGAATGAATGAATGAATGAATGAATGAATGAATGAATGAATGAATGAATGAATGAATGAATGAATGAATGAATGAATGAATGAATGAATGAATGAATGAATGAATGAATGAATGAATGAGATAGAAACCAACTCATTGTCCTGTGTGACGCAGTTGTGGAGGTCAATGATGTGGTTGCCGATGAACTTGACCAGGTTGATGAAGTAGGGGGAGGCCGTCTTCTCTTTGATGTATTGCAACATGCTTCTGTCTTCAGCTGTTTAACGTCCATCAACGCATAGCATTAATTTATAATAATTACACACATTACGTTTAATATTCCTCATCACATCAATAAAAATGGACGAACAAGCGAATTATTAACAACCATATAAATGGCCGAACAAATGGAAATACAATACAATGGAATAAAACAAACAAATGGATGAGTAAAAAGTAACCAACCAAGACAGTTTTCACTGTTTTCATTCATTTTTGATAGAGGAACACAAGCTAATAATGAAGAAAATGAAGGCAAGGAATTATTAAAATGGCAATACAATATTATAACATATGAAAACATTACAATGGGCTGTGAAATGGTTAAATACAAAACGAAGACATGAACCATCATCCACCGTTATGCCAGCTAGCAAGCAAAAAACCAAATCATAAATTTAAAAAACACACTCCACAGAATCTATAAAACTCACAGCTGGTTATATCGCCACCCCGTTATAATGACTAGATGAACAATGCGTACAAACAAAAACACACGCACACACAAACATAAACACACACACACACACACACACACACACATACATACATACAAAGGATATCGTAAACATACATAAACACACGCGCGTGAACAGAAGCAAACAGACCTCTGTAGACATTGAGAGTGATGGTCCTGACAGCAATCCTCACCATACTTTCAGAATGGTTGAAGAACTTGATGGCTTCAGTGTACAGTGCAAAATCATTTGTGTGCTGTAATGCAACATGAAATTCTCAATTAAACCACTTTATAATATTATAATATATAAAAAAAATATACACACACACATACACAAACACACACACACATCACGTTGTTTGACGTATAAAGCTTATTTTGCAAGTTTAATTGCCACATTTATTTCAAATATTTCAAAATTAATCTCCGGGGCATCTAATTTATTTTTTTAAAAAAGTTTCAGAAAAATCAGCAAAACACAAACAGCGTATATGAATGCGTGCTGAAAAGCGATAGTAGGCCTTAGCTGCCAGGCCATCGTGCCACCCATTAATTTAAATAATTAATTTATAATTTTAAGGACTTTAATTTAGTCTGCAAATTCAATCATGCATTGCTATCGGGAATGAGCAAGAATATCTAACTTCAGCTGAATCAGACAACGGAAAATTATCAAAAAATCGATTACAAGATTTGAACTATAGAGACAAAGGTGAAAAATTAGTTTAAAACTGCCTCACATATAACATGAAGAGATCCGTCTACATTTTATTTTACATCTTCCAGGCCCAAACACTTGTTCATTCAAACAAATGACTGAGCTAGAAGATACAAAATAATATTAGATAATATTGAGTTCGCTATGCTTGGCTTTGAGCATATGGTCTAAAACTGTAGTCAGCAAAATTATAAAATAAGTAATTAACGAACGGATGAACAATCTGTCAACCTACTTCGTTATAGAAAAAATGCACTGTGTGTTTGTTGAGCTTCATGGAGAGGGTCTTCAGGAAGGAGATGTAGTAGGCCATGACCTGTCGGCAGGTGGTGGTGATGCATAACATTCCACGTTTCATCCACCAACTGTTACTTCATTCTCAACACAATTTTATTTCAAAAAACTCGCTTCAATGGGTAAGTAATCTTATTTATTATTTTGTTTGTCAACATTAATTTATTTTAATTAATTTATAATAAATCTGTTCATTAATCATCACCAGAAACGAATTTGAATGAATTACAATAAACTTGTCTCAAAGTAAAATGCTGAAAGATAAGAAAATGAAAAAAGATCACAAATGAACAATAAACAAACAAACAAACAAAAAACAATAAAAAGAACACCTCCTCATCTGAGAAGTCGAACTTGTGGACGATTATCGAGTTGATGTGATTGTTGGAAAGCAAGTAATCTGCAAGTTTTTTGTTTGCAAATCTTAAGCACTACATGTTCTTCCAAAATTGAAAATATCAAATGCATGCACATTTAATAAGCTGTTGATCATATTTAAAATACATTATTTGCTGCATTTGTGATGGAGCAATCCAACAATTACTAAACAAAAATTAATCCATGATCAGAAAATGAACCAACACATGAACCAACAGATGAACTAACACATGAACAAGAAATGAACCAACACATGAACTAACACACGAACAAGAAATGAACTAACACACTGATGTTTCGTTGGTGATGTTGTCAAAGAGTATGTTCAAAGTTTGCAGCAACTGCACGCAGATGCACTGACCTGACTTCTGCTTCATGAACTTCAAGAAGAACACCAACATGTTCTTCTCCAAGAAAAAACTTCAAAAACATAAAATATTAAAGAAAGTTAAAAAAAATTTCAAATGGAAAAACTTATTAATTAAAATATGAGATTTTTTTATATTTATACCATAAAATTCAACATTTTGTCATTACTGAAACTGACTGGCAGTCTGAAAATCTGATACTGGCACAGAGGAAAAAAACCTCATTGAAATTGAATGAAACATAATTAGAACATGTACAAAAAAGGAAAATGAAGCATATTAACTCCTAACTCGAAAACAGTACTGTCATTTTGATCTCCCCAGATGAGAATCTCAGAGATGGAACGCAAGGTCTCCACCAGCAAACCCAAGTTGCCCTCTGTAACTGTCTGGTTCTTGCACAATATCCCATATAAATATCTGCAATGATCATTGCACAGAGATAAGTATTACACATACATAGTCATTAATGCTTTATTATAAATATATTGCTTATGAATAACAAACTCTTAAATGGTTGTATTAATGTACATGTGATAAGACTAATCAGTTGAAGGAAAGTTTTAAAAATCATTCATATGCATTAGTAAACCAAGGTTTCAACAACAAAAATGTTCAATCGAGTTTATTTGACCACTATCATAAATTTAAACAAGTTGTTTGAAACTTCTAAACATTCATCTCAATAACAATAAAAAGTAGATATGTGCTTCTTTCCTCCCATCAACAAACACAGCAACATATGAAAAAACACAACAACATATGAACAAACACAACAACACATGAACAAACCCAATAACACATAAACAAACACAACAACACATGAACAAACCCAATAACACATAAACAAACACAACAACACATAAACAAACCCAATAACACATGGACAAACACAACAACACATGAACAAACCCAATAACACATAAACAAACACAACAACACATGAACAAACCCAATAACACATAAACAAACACATGTAAAAACTTAATAACACATGAACAAACACAATAACACATGAACAAACACAACAACAAATGAACAAACACAACAACACATGAACAAACACAACAACACATGAACAAACACAACAACACATGAACAAACCCATTAACACAAGAAAAAACTTACATTTTATAAAGAACTAAAAAAAAATCTCTCATATCAATTAAATTATAACAAATGTAATGTTCCTATTGCTGTAGTGTGTAGGGTAATGCAATGAAATGAGATGCAAATTTATTCATAAAAAAAACTACCCGAATTTTTACCGGTTTTATATTTCAATATAAAATATTGAATTATATCTTTTATCAACTCTAAAATAAATGGCAAGATACAAAAAATATTTTAAAAAATATGGTCTAGTAATTTAGTTTATTGTTTATTTTATTAGATATTACTTAATTAATTATTAAGTATCCATTACTTACACCATTATCAACAATTGAATAATTTATAATGTGCTACAATTAAATTTGCAACTAATACTAATGGTATTTGTTTTTTTATTACTTTTATTTAAATTTTAGTTTGGTTTTAATTTAAAATTTTATTATTTAATTTTTTTACATATGGACTTTAATTTTAAATTTTAACTACCATCAAAACTGGAAAAAAAACAGAAATAAAAAACAGAAATAAAAAACAGAAAAAAACAGAAAATACTAAAGGCTTAAATTAAAATTTAAAACGAAACCAAAGTGCCAACCAACATGACTAGATCTGAATAGATGAGCAAGGCAAATTCAAATTGAATTGATAATATTTATAAATAGCAGCAAAATGAACAGACGTTAACAACGCACACCAATTTTTTAATTCAATTGAAAATTTGCAAAAAATAAAAAAAAATCATCTGGATGGCAAACTTCAAGTGGTCCAGTGAATGTGGATTCTTGGGTTTAAAAAGTCCACTGGAATTAGACAACAACCCCTTTGATTTGGGGAACATTACAAAACTTTAATTAATTGGCTGATAATTAGTTGAAAAAATAAATTAAATTAAAATTAAGCGTCGCTTTAAAAAACAATCCAATTCGTTTAACCTAGCGATAAAAAAAACACGATATCAACAAATTGAAATTAGTAAACCTTCGATGAAAACATTCAGAGTATGGAAAGCTTTCTATTCTGCATTCAGCTGACTAAGAAAGTCGTACCCATATAATTAGAGTATCAAAAGACGGATTTCATTACTTTAATAGAACATAAACGTAAAATCACGTAGACCGCACATTCGGCGTGATGGTTTAATGGTTAAGGTCACCTGGTGCTGTTTCGCAGTAACCGGGTTCAAATATGACAAAAAGATCCACACCCAACACATGCTTCGTGTGCGATGCGTCGTTTAGCACGTATTCATTTACGATATTTGTGCGCTTAGTTGAATCCTCTGAACTTTGGAAGATTTTAATTGACCTTTAACCTTTTAACCTTTTCTGATTGGTCGAAAATGTAAACTTAGCAAATTTTACTGTGAGATGTATTATAACCGGTGTCTTGCAAAAAACACTTGGCTTTAATTTATTTTATATCATTTTTTTTATAAAATTTGTTTTTATTTCGTTAAGAGTGAACAAGCGAATATGATTTAAAAAGGTACGCCACCACTACTACAGTGTCGACCACGACCACACTTGTGTCGCTTGCTTCAGCAGCAGGAACAACAACGATAACAACAACACTAATCAATCAATCCGTCATCAGTCAGTCAGTCAATCTGTCACCAACTTCACTATTTCAGCAATAACATCATCTTATAAAAAGAAAAACAGCAACAGTGCAGTGCACTACAAGGAAGGAAAGAAGCTGCCTTCACAAGCTCTTATTTATAATTGCCAGTGAAGAAGTAAAATTAAAAAAAAAACCAAAAAAATATGGACCCGAGCGTAGCCGTCAGCGTTTCATACTCGCAGAGCGACTCGTCGTCTTCTTCTCATAACAACTTAATAAACACGCCAGCCACTCAGTCCAATTCTAATCCTTCGAATTCTTCCAAACCAAAACCTGGAATTTTGGTGTCTCAGCACAAAGGGATGACACTGTATACGCAACTGAATCCGCCTGCTGCGGACTTTAATGATCAGCGCGTATATGGTAAAAATTTATATTTATATTTGTTTTACAAATACTTTGACGAACCAGAAGAGCAGTGAGCGGGAGAAGAAAAGAATAGTATTCTTTTGGATAGGCTGGACACGTTTCAAATTTATATTTGAAACTCAAGCTTAACAAGAGCTTATTTGATACATATTTGTTTTACAAATACTTTGTCGAACCAGAAGAGCAGTGAGCGGGAGAAGAAAAGAATAGTATTCGTTTGGATAGGCTGGACACGTGTTTCGTCCCTACCGGGAACTCATCAGCAGCCCGAATACCTATCGGAATAGTTATCGCAGTTTCTTATAAAGCCCGCACAAATCAACTCCTTATTTCTTGGTGTTTTATTTATTAGTCTTTTTAATCGCTAGGATTTTCAATCCGACAGGGACGTATATCTGTAAATATAAGTATAAGAGTAAGAATGTTTATTCTAGTTATGTGGGTATAAGCATGGAAAATAAAATAATAATATTAGAAACAAATAATTTATGAAAATGATAAACTATAAATTATTAAAGAAAAAGCATAAACAAAACGACGAAAAATTATTGAGTGTTAATATGTTTTAGGTGTCTTGTGATGAAGGTTTTATCCAGACAAGCTGATTGAGTGGTGACTTGGCAGCTATGTTTATGTTGTGTGTACTAGTTTCCATTGGTGGTAGAAGAGGGAGAATGACGTTTTTAGCACTAGTTTCTACTTCATCAAAGATTCTTGAACAAATGACGAATAATATTTGAGTGGCAGTAGGATATGATAACGAGGGTAATTGAGGCGAGTTAGTTTTCTGATGAGATCTTGAGCTGTTGAAGTTGCTGCTGTGTAGCGAAGCCAGACCAGGAAAGAGCTGCATATTTAATGTGTGTAAGATAATGAATGATTTTATGACGTCGAATAATTTGATGGATGTTTTGGAGGTAATGCTATTTTGCTACGAATGATTTATAGAGGTTAAGTGACAGATTACATTGTTTAGACCATGTAGTCTTTTTCAAATTTTTCTTCTAATCTATCTTTCTCAAGGTCTTTTAGGGACATAAAGTAGTGTAGTGGGTGTTTGAATTACTTTGCTTTTTATTTATTTTCAATTTTACTTTGTTTATAACCTTTTTAAAATAATAATTCTTTTTTGAAAATGTTTGTTATTTGTTAATTTTAGCCAGGACGATTTTTTTTATTCTTCGGCGCGGTATCAATTAGCTCGCCAGAATAGCAAGGCTTCTAACGATTATAATGCTGCAATTTCTTTTTATCGTGGTCTATCATGGTGGTTAAACGGTTTTGTTCTGCCCTAACCATCCAGTAATTGAGCGCAAATCAGCGTATTCGTATATATTAATCTCTCTCTCTTTATATATACATCCGTGTGTGTGTGTGTCTTGAATTGTCATCCTATCCAGAATATCTTTGTATATTTGATTTTTTGCTTTTAATTCTTTTAGTTATCAGTTTTGAAAGAAATCTTTCGTAAAATTTTCCACCTCGAATTCAACTCCCTAATCTAGACCCGGCCACTTTGAATCAAACTTCCTACTCCGACTCCCTACTATGACTCCGCCAACTCCGAGTAGAAATATATGAATCCGTCTTCCTATCCGACTCCGGTTTCCGAGTCTAAGTAAAATTTTACAACTTTCGCCTCATAATTTTACTTATAAATCACTACTAGAACAAAGTAAATACTCCGAATCCTACTCAGTTTTTGGCTTATTTTCAAGGAATTTTAGAAAATTGGACTCCCTACATTGACTCCTGTGTAAAAAAAAATCCATTTCCTAAATTAACATCCTATCCAGTATATTGTTATAATACTCGCTGTCGTAACCGGTTTACGATGCGACGGGTTCAAATCTTCGATTGAATAAAATACTCCAAACAGTTATTAAACTTTATTTACAGATGAAATCAACTATTATTAGTTATTAAACTTTATTTACAGAAGAAATCAACTAATCGTTTATTTCCAGTAAATTCGCACTAACGCAACAATTAACTTTTAAATCTTTCAAAATCTATCGCTATGACAACGTCAACAAACAATTCAAATATCGCTTTAAATAATTCACCGAATCGCTATTCACAAAATCACGAATTTCACTAATCACGAATATCACCAATCACGAATATCACTAATCACGAATATCCCAATCACGAATATCACCAATCACGAATATCACCAATCACGAATATCACCAATCCCAAATATCTTGCGACGTGCGCAAGCGTCGTTTCTAGATTCTTCCCGATGGTCCGATTCCAGCATACTCTAGAACGTTCCAGTCACTAGAACATTCTAGAATACGCTAGAATCTAGTGCGTTCGGTAGCACGGTTATAACATTACCCCCTTCTTAGTTCTGTTCGTCCCGAACAGCTTTCGTTCCGGTGTCCGCATGGTACGGAGCCAGTCTATCAAAATGGACGATCTTCATTCTTGCTCTCGGCTTCCGATATTCCTGAATACGGTAGACGACGTCATTCAAGCGGGTGATGACTTGATAAGGTCCTTCCCACCCTCGCTGGAGCTTTGGAGAACGTCCTTTCTTCCGCTGTGGGTTGTACAGCCAAACTAACTCGTCGACAGCAAAACCGCCACTGCTTCCTTTCAAGTCGTATCTGGTTTTGGCCGCCTCCGTGTTTTTCATAATTTTAAGGCGTACGTAACGGTGGATATGGTTTAATCGCTGTCGAAGATTATCCACGTATTCTGTTAATGGTTGGTGTGGTTCGGGTGGTACGCCATATTTCACATCAGCTGGAGTTCTTAAGGTAGTCCCAAACAGAACTCTTGATGGCGTTTCTCCAGTAGTTGTGTGGATAGCACTCCGGTATGCCATAAGAAACAATGGTATATGACGATCCCAATCCCGTTGATTTTCGTCGACTACTTTAGCCAGATGTTCAATCAGGGTTTGGTTGAATCGTTCCACCATACCGTCA